TCTTACTATTTAACGCTCCTAGGTACCTAAGCAGGTGAAACACACCTGTTAAACCCATCTGAATGACCAAACTGCAATGCAACTTAAAAATGACTCATAGAGGCTGGAGAGCTCAGTGGTTAAGAGCACTGGATACTCTCAGACAGGACCCAGGTTTGATTCCTAGCTCCCACTTGGCAGCTCACAACTGTCTGTAACTCTAGTTTCAGGGGATCTTTTTGGCCTCTCTGGGCACCAAGCATGCATGTGGTACACAAACACACATGCAGGCCAAACACTCAAGCATTTGAAATAAAAATAAAAAATAAACTAAAATCATCAAATGTAGAACTTGACAGTCTGACTTATCAAACTGGCCTTTTTACCTTTTTTTGGAGTTACTGAATTTCCTGGGTCTGTACTTCTTCCATTCTTCTTATTCTTAAAATATTTCTCAAACCCTTAGGGACAAAAGGGAGAAGTCGTGGTATTTTTAAAAGGAACGCACACTCAGAAAAGCAGGAATACAGTCAAATCTGGCTGACAAAGTAAGAAAGCTAGCTCTCCTTCCTCCTTTCTTCTTCCTGATCAAACAACATGCAGCCCCAGGTCCACACACAGACATATGGACTAAGGAATATTTCTTCTACTTTCTGGAGATAGAGGTCTCCCAACGCTTCTATGAATACAGTCCCTTTGCTCAGAACACTCACCACAGGTCCATGGCTTACTCTGAAGGGCTCCAATAGACCACTGTGCTCCAGGTAACTAGTCTACCTGTTTTACTTTCCAAACCTGAGGCTGGATCCTCAGAATCAACGATGCAGAAACCCACATGAATTCCCACGCCTCCCGAAAGCTTTACCTAGCAACATCCTTCTGAGACATTTCACTTTTGCCAGTGTCAGTGATGTATCAAAGCGACAAAGGCACGCAGGTGCTACCGTGAGGCTCAAGGTGGAAACTAGACAGGGAAGGATGGGAGCATGCTAGCTGTCATGTCACTGTGGGAGACACCCTGAGCAAGTCACACTAGTCCCATAAACTTCATGCAGCTAGGGAAGGCAGAGAGTGAAAGAGGTACCATACCTTTGGGGGGTTTTGAACACAGCCGTGGGGGAAACGAAGTCAGTCTTCCCTGCAGAGCCTGCTGCTGCAAGCATATCCCCTGATGACACTGAAAAGAGAGACGAGCAGGCTGTTCCTGCAATGGGACACAGCATCCTCTCAAAGCGGCCAGGACAGGACGCAAGGGACAGGATTCTGACTGAGGTGTGGGCTTATTGTTTGCCCACTTAGATATTCAAACAGAATAAATATGAACTAAATTCACTGTAAAAACTCACAAAGGATTTTTTATAGTTATAATATCCAGCCAGGCAGTGGTAGTGGTAGTACACGCCTTTAATCCCAGCACTCAGGAGTCAGAGGCAGGCGGATCTGAGTTTGAGGTCAGCCTGGTCTACAGAGTTGAGTTCCAGGACAGCCAGAGCTAAAGAGAAACCCTGTCTCGAAAATAGGTGCTTTCTTTTGTAAGCTGACTTGGTCATGGTGTTTTATTGCAGAACAGAAATCTAACTAAGACAGAAGTTGGTGCCGGGAAGTGGGCTATTGCTGTGACAGACCTGACTGTGTGGTTGTTTCCTTTTGGTTTTTTGTCGTTGCTGTTGAGGGACATGGAAGACTTTGGTACTGTGGACTAGAAAGTGGTTCAATGTTTCCAGCAGAGCTTAATGGGCCACCCTAGTAGGAGTCTGGAAGACAGTGGTGCCGAAAGCCATGTGGAGGCCTAGCTCAAGAGGCTTCAGAGGGAAGGAAGGACTTTAACAGCAGTGGACTCGAGGCATGCCTGTGATACTTGGTCAAGAATGTGGCTACCTTCTGCCTTCATCTAAATTAGAAAGTAACAGACTACTTTCTTTGGTGGAGGAGTTTTCAAGACAGCCTAATACTGATTTTGCCGGATGGTTATTAAAAATCACCCTTACACAAGTCTACAATGAAAGAAAATAAGTAATATCGAGGACTATGGGGGTCCAGCCCCTCATAGTCCCCTCCCAGGATCTGGGAAGAATCTACAACCAGCTGATAATTAATCTTTGATGAAAAGAAATGAATCTATGTACACGAAACTTAGTCGATACACTTTATTCTTCTGAGTCAGTTCTCTCTCTACACAGCTTCTATTCTGCTCTCATATCTAGCTCCTTTCTTGCTTGACTTCTCCCTACATTAATCTGCTGTCCCCTCTAAGTTCTATCTTAATTCTCTCATCTTAGTTCTGCCTCATCTAGGTCCTTTTCATCTCGTTCTTACCCAGCTCCAGCTCGTACTTCACCATCTGACTCTTCCTCATCTTCCATCTCGTCCACACATTCTCTCTGGTCAAAATCCTCTTTATCACTCTCCATTCTCTGTCTCTCAGTTCTCAACGTTCCTTCTAAGTCTCCGAAGAATCCAGTTATAAACCCAAGCAATAGCAAGGCCCTGGTCAAGCAAGGTCATCAGGCTTGAATTCTATGGGGTTATAAAGGCAGGTAAGAATTTTCCTCAGGCAGTGACCACCAGGCTTTCTTTTACAACCCAAAATGGGAGTGGTAAAAGAGGAGGTCAACTGAGTGCTAATGACCGGTTAGTGTATGAAAAAGGGGATCCATGTGCTCAGTCTACATTCCAAGAAGTGGTTAGGTAAGAAGTTAGGGGTCTGTTAGTAAGTAAGGTTGTGTAAGAAAGGAGGGTCCAACCTAAATTGCACAAGAAATAAAGCTATCTGCCTTACCTAGGAGACAGGTGTTGTTTTGTATGGCCTTGGATGTTTGATAGGCATCTAGATAAATATACTGTTAGGAGTTCTTGGAAGCACGCAAGAAAATAATTTTAGGAACCAGCTAATATGTATACAAAAGCTAAAATATCACCATGGCTTGACCTTTGGAGAAGTCCTTGACTTTTCCAAGTAGTAGCTTTTGTGATTGTAGCTGAATTCCATTACGTTTTCATGCGACTTGCAGCAAAGTAGGGCAAAAAAGAAATACACATGTACAACTTGAAAAGAAAAAGATCACCAGGAAATGTAACAATGTAACGTTGGAGCCAAGGCTTGTGCTGACAGAGAGAAGGGGGGTGGTGGTGGCCTGATCTGCACTGGAATAAAGGGAGGGCAAGACTCCAACCAGCTAAACTTCCAACTTGTGGAAGATTTCCTGATCCTAGGAAGGGAAAAATACATCAAGCAAGCTGAAAATGTGACTTGAGGTGGCCAAGGCTCACCCCAAGTGCCTACATGAAGGCCAGAGAGGTCCAGAAACCCTGAGAGGCCATTCTGTGAAGCAGTGAAAGTGACACTTGGATCACGTTAGAGATACCAAGAGGGTAGAGATGCTACAGCCGTGATACCTGCCAAGGAGAGCTGCACACAGAGAATGGAGCCAGCCCAAGAGAGAAAATACCTTAAGAACCAAAACTGTATCTTATGGACTCAAGGGTTGTGTGTTTGAAGTGAGCTTTGTTGATCTAAGAATGATGAAGTTTCACTTAGAAATTCAAGCTAACTAACTGAGGATATTCTAGACAAAATCTGTCTGACTAACTTCAGTGGCATGAGTCCCATAGTTAACAAGACTCATTAGGCCCTTCCCTTCCCAAATAGACCATCAGCAAAGATTGCTGAGACTCGCTCTCAGACAAGACAAACCACAATAAAGATAGACTGCCTGGAAGAAGCAGAGTAGCCTAGCAACATGGATGAAGCAGAGGCCGTTCAAGCTGCCTAGAAGACTCTCAGACAGCTGAGATGCCTGGAAGAGGCTCAGGTCAACCGAGCCACTAGAAATGGACACTCTCCAACCTGCTGAACTACCTGAAATTTGTGCAGTGTGCTCCAGGTTTCTAGCTTTTGTGAGCTGTCTCTCATGCTTGGATGGCCTCTGGTGATGCATCTGTCTCTGAGTCATTTCTGTTCCTGTAAGTAACTCCATTTACTGGTTCACCAAGTTGGACTTCAATGCTACCCATAAGTTTGGTCTGATGTCAGTTCCTATCTGGGGTGGACAGATGTTCATTCACGTGTCCAAGGACAAGTGTCACACGACGTCATCTCTTTAGTCTGTGGCCAGTGCTCCCTGTCTAGGGTGAACAGACATTTATTCACCTGCAGAAAATGACACAATCAACTCAAAGACCATTCAACTTACTTCTTTCACAAAGATACAGGTCCACAGCAGTTCAGTGACTGATTGTGCTATAACAACCTATAACACTCACTATATGACTGATCTTCAACAGGTTAATTCTGTTCTGGTGAGAACAGGATCTGCAACACCAACAGTGCTAGAAACAAACCTGTGAGCATTTTCCTAACCTGACTGTGAAGCTATTTTCTCCAAATCCCAAGATCCGACCCTGGAGGAAGGAGGGACGCTCTTAAAACTCAAGACACTCAGAAACCTTATGCTCAGGAAATTACAAGGTTCACAAGGCCCATCCACAAAGTTAAGCAGGCAGTAAGCAACTGCTGCGGAGATGAGACCCTCTGTGGTGGCACTGACTGTAGGTTTTGCAGGGAGCTCCAGGAATGCATTTTCCCTGGGTTGTTGCCTATGTGTGTGACTTTTAATGATAAACTGCTTTTGACTGACTCATTCCTGAAAGTAATTCTTCCCCAGTTGGCCCCGTATTTAATTCCAGTGAACTCATTGGTTCACAAAGCTAGAGAGATGGAATCATTTCTTTGACCTGTCATGAGTGCCCTGAGGTTAATGGACATTTGTTCATCCAAAGTTACACTACACTATGACATATTAAGAGGTAACAGAAGTTCTGGACAGCTCAGGCAGTTACACAGAGAAACCTGTCTCAAAAAACCAAAAAAAAAAGAAAGAGAGAGAGAGAGAGAGAAAGAAAGAGAGAAAGAAAAGAAAAGAAAAGAAAAGAAAAGAAAAGAAAAGAAAAGAAAAGAAAAAGGGAGCAACAGAAGCAAAGACGAGTTGAGGAAGAACAGCTGTATGGCCCCTGAGACGAGTGATAACAGACTGATTTAAAGATGGAGAATCCGCATGGGTAATTCCAATATAGCTACCTTTCTCTATGAGGTATAGGACAGTGAGTCTCCTTACTGTAGTAGCAGATGCACGTTCTATGCGACGGATGGTAAAATATGTAATAAGGTTGAAAGAACGAAGAACGAAGCATCCATGGCACGAATCCTATGGTGGCCATCTTTCTCTGCTTAGTATTAAGAGCTACCCCTCTTTAATGAATGAATTCCACCTTCTAAATGGGGACCCTCCCCCCCAATAGCTGAAAGATAAACTGTAAACCCTCAAGTGCTAGGATCAGCAATAGGTAGACACTGGTGGAGTCTGAAGCAGAAATCCGGAAGCCGCTGCTCCCGACCCAGCCGCAGGCGGATGACGTCACTGCGACGTCCGGTGAAGCCCCCACCACGCCGCCTGAAACCTGTGGAGGACGCTTCCCTGCTCACCTGCCGAGCAATGCCACCGACCCTCACGCTGCTCCAGGCCGCCACGCCGCTCCCTGCGCAGCCGCCACATCGCCACAAGTTGGAAAAACGCCAGGGCAGGGCCCGACTGCCCGCCGCCCCCACCAGCCGGAGTAACATCCCCCGGCCCTAACCTCGCGCCGCCTAGGCGCGCGCACGCGCAGCAGGCGGGTCATAGTGCGCCACGCCCCGGGGCGCGCGCGTGCGCAGCAGGCCACAGCATTGGCTCGGACCCTCCTTCCAGCTGGCCAATTCGCAGCCTTACTTTTAAAGATCCCGAACGGGAGTGTCGCTTTGCGCGGCCTGATGGCCGATGACGGGTGACCCGCAGCCAACCTGACCTAGGCACCAAAGGCATTTAGACGTATTTTAAATGTGTCATTGTCATTGACACCAGTGGTTTGGGCGGGTCACCTGACTGAACTCTTAGAGCCTGCTCCTTCCGTGGGTGTACGGGTTAGAGGTGTTTCCGGGTATTTCGCATCTAGCCTAGACGTGCTTCGACCTCTCGTGAACAAAGGGACTGCTTGGTACACGTCTTGCGTGATTGTTACCCCTCAGAGACCTCTGTTTAGTTTTGATTGGCTAGCTGGTTGGTATATGCAGCCACGTCAGCTTTACATCGCCTGCGGTTCTGCTGACCAGAAATGTGGGCTCGACACTAGGGAGGCGCGTCTGGCCCCTGGGAGTGCAGAATGAACCAGTTTCTGGACAGTGGGGCCTATTGTGCTCCTTCGTGGGTATCTGCTGCACCCGAGTTCTTCAGGGTAGTGCAAGGGTAACGACAACATTCTAAAAGCACGGAGGCTGCTATGCGTACGTTTCAAAGGTAGAAATGCCTGGGGAAAGGCCCCTGGATGCCATTGTCACCCGTAATGCCAAAAGGAAAGGAAGTAATTATCGTCGACATCAAATTACAAGTGATAAGCCAATTCCAAGCCAGGCAGGGCTACATTGTCAGGCCCAAAAATTTCTTCAATGTGTCTGTGCCGCCTATGGTGACATCATTTACTTTTGGGAGTAAATGGCTTAGTCAAGACCAAATGTTGAAAAGATTTTTATGATTTGTATCATGTTATAAAGTAGTTTATAATATCAAAAACAAAATTCTTGGGAGCTGGAGCGACGGCTTAGCAGTTAAGAACTCTAGCCAAGGACCTAGATTTGATTCCCAACACCCACGTGACAGCTCACAAGCATCTGTAACCCCAGTTCAAGTGGACCTGTTGCCCTCTTCTGACCGCTGTGGACACCAGGCATAAACATGGTGCACATACATACATGCAGGCAAAATACTCAAACAGAAAGTTAAAATATAATTTTTAAAAACTTGCCAGGTGTGGCAATGCACACTTTTAATATCAGCTCTCAGGAGGCAGAAGCAGGTGGGTTCCAAGTTGAGGCCAGCCTGGTCTACAGAGCAAGTTCCAGGACAGTCAGGCCTACTTAGAGAGATCCTATCTAAAAAAAAAAATAAATAAATAAAAATAAAAGTAGCCGGCTGGGCACTGGTGGCGCAGGCCTTTAATCCTAGCACTCCAGAGGCAAAGGCAGGCAGATCTCTTGTGAGTTCGAGGCCAGCCTGGTCTATAGAGCGAGTTCTAGGACAGGCCCCAAAGCTACACAGAGAATCCCTGTCTCGAAAAACCAAAAAATAAAAATAAATAAAAAATAAAACAGTGCCAAAACTTAAAAATAAAACAGACAGTATTAGCCAGGTGTGGTGGTGCAGGCTTTTTATCTCAGCACTCTGAGGCAGAGGCAGGTGGATCTCTCTGTGAGATCAAGGCCAGCCTGGTCTATAAAGAGTTAAACGTGTGTCTTCAAGGTGAAATCCAATTTATTGATACAATGTTTCCAGTATTAACAGTATTCTAAATGAAATGATGGCAAGATCAAGTTAAGGCACACCATTTAATGGATGTCTATATACTATCTAAGCAAAGCCGTATGAATAACAAAAATATGTAGCTTTGCTTTTCAATTTGATACAGGAATTTGAAAACAAATTTCAAGGTTTCTGGGAAAGCAATATTTTGTCCTATTTCAGCTCCATTTTCAGTTTCCAGGGACATGTTACCTGCCATTTCGTTTTGTTTTTATTCTCTTATTCTTTGAGTGGAGGAGTGTGGAGGCGGGAAGTCAGCCTGTGGGAGTCAGCTCTCTCCTACCATTCTGAGGGATGAACTCAGGTGGTCAGCCTCGGCAGGAAGAACCCTTACCCACTGAGCCATCAGGCCAACCTAGGAGACCCCTACTAATTTTCAGATGGAGTCTTCCCAGGAACAAATGCTCTAGGCTTCATAATCATGCCTCATTCATGCCATTGCTTTTTAGAAGTACTTATATTTGTGAGCAACTATTTTCAAGGATGAAACAGTAAAATTAGAACCAAAACATCTGACATTTCAGAACTCACATAATTTCAACTAGTTCCATCACACCAGGCATTGATTTTTGTTCACTTACCAAAGCAGGGGTGGGTGCACATTGTGCCTTGGCATGCAATGATGGTCAGGAGTCAGCTCTCTCTTCCCAACACATGGTCTCAGGGCTGGGCAGCGAGCATCCTTACCTTTTGAACCATCCCACTGGCATTCAAACCAGATATTGGTTTATCAAATACAATGTGAAACAGCCGGGCGGTGGTGGCGCACGCCTTTAATCCCAGCACTCAGGAGGCGGAGCCAGGCGGATCTCTGTGAGTTCAAGGCCAGCCTGGGCTACCAAGTGAGTTCCAGGAAAGGCGCAAAGCTACGCAGAGAAACCCTGTCTCGAAAAACCAAAAAACCAAAAAACAAAAAAACAATGTGAAACATATAAACTAGTTTTATATGTCCCTCTTCTTACATTTTTTTAAGTTTGTATTTGTTTTTTAAATTTATTTTTTATGTATGAATGCTCTGTCTGCATGTATACCTTTGTGCCATAGAAGGCATCAGATCCCATTATAGATGGTTGAGAGCAACCATGTAGTTACTGGGAATTGAACTCAGGACCTCTGAAAGAGCTGGCAGTGCTCCTAACTGTTGAGCCATATTACCAGCCCCCCCCTACATTTATTATTTTAAAAAAATGTTTTTTAACCAATAAAGTTATATTAGTTAGATACATTCATTTATCA